TAACGTAAACTTAATTTCTAACAGGTAAAACCTGTCACCCCTTCTGAAATTTATTTGTAAATCTGGTACTAATGGACTGATCCACATGTATTGAAAGAGGAGTTTATGCTTGGTCAATTTTAGCCAACAGATTACATGGAAATGCTGTGCAAAACGCGAGAGATAGCCCTCCTCTTCCCCTTCAGCGAAATACCTGTTGGACCGGTGCTCAGCCTTAGGCATCATTACTGCAAATTCCCTCGCATTCAACATCACCTGTTCTCTCACTATCTCCTCTCTCTCTCTCTCTCTCTCTCTCTCTCTCGCTGCAAAGAGCTATCTCTTGGTTCAGACAGGTTTAGGGACTACCTTCAGGTATAAGACTTAGGGGTATAAGACAGTACTGCGGAGCTGTGTGTAAGGGCTGTTCAAATGAGTGGTTGTGTCGGTTCTTCGAGTGCCTCCAGCATTCCTGACTCCACATTGAAAACAGGTATTTCAGTTGTTGTGCTCTAAAGTAACACTCGATATGAATTGTGTGCCAAAAATATAAACTCCAAGCGTTTGAAACAATGGCTCAACAAATGAGTCCATTGGATGGACACCAAACCGATAACTCAAACCAAACTAATGGTCGCTGTAAGCGAAAGGGAGCGCCCGATGACACGGCCGGCGACGTGACCGCCAGTAGTGGACAGCTCTCTCCCAATTCTCATAAGAATAATGAATTACCGACTTTTGCTCTCATTGACACTCACGATGAGGTAGTGGTTAACTATTGTTAAGACATTTTGTCGAATTCTCCATTTCATCCTTTTATTCACTTACTCTTAAGCTTTCAAAACTCTTGTTATGGTTGTTGTTATTGTTGTTGTCTTTGAGTTTACGTATTAAACTCTGCTTTAATTTTCAACATCTCTGCTATCATTTGCTTTGTTTAAAATTTGCAATATTTAATTGATTTCCTATATATTTATTCTCATTTAATTGAATTGATTGACTTTTTCTAATCAACAAAATTAAATAAACATGTTAAAATATTTATAAAATGCAAAACTGAGTGTTCTTTGAATTAAATGTAAAAATGTATGTTTTATGAGATTAAGTGTTGTTTTGAGTCTCAATGAAATCAAATTGAAAATGTGTTTATGAGCTAAAGTTGTCAAATAGACGATCGTATTGTTTAACAGTATATGAAATTCATATAATGAATCCAAGTGTAGGTGTTTTTGAATAATAGTAGTGATATAATATGGTGTTCAGAGTAGGAAAGACCTCTCACGTCCTTGCCTTTGGGTATTAGATGGTAAGCAAGGATGATATGGTATAGTGACTGCCGACTGTGACTTTAGGCCTGATTTTTGTGTGCCTATACAGTGAGCCCCAGGCATGCAAACAATGTACTAGAATTTTGCAACTCATATATAGTATTGTAAAAAAGGCAAAACTTCTTATTTGCTCTTCTCTTCCGTGATCTTCAATTGGCATACATTGTACACAACAGCACAAGTAGTCTAAATTGTAAAACCAGCCAAAACTAGTAGACAACGCCTTTCCATGACTGGCCAAAGGCTATATGAAATATGTAATCTCACTCTTACTTTCCTTGTCTGGCAATCCCAACACAGACTCAATGCCTTTAGCACTCAATTTCTCACTTCTTCTAACAGTTCCTCAAAACGCTTTCATTCACACAACAAATGTTTCATTAAAACTGTGTTTTTCTATATCTTCAGGAGCGCCGAGAGTTAGTCAGTGGTCATGGAGGAGGTTTGGGGCCAATCGGAAGCATCGGTGGATCCGCCGGATCCTTCAGCTCAAACCCACGTCTCACACATACGCCAACATCGGCTGACTTCCAGCCGCCATACTTTCCTCCGCCATATAATCTGCCGCAACAACAGTTGGATTTCCATCATCACCACGCCGTCAACGCTGCCGCCGCGGCCGCCGCCGCCGATCCCTACTCCCATCTGAACAGCTTAACGGCACCGCAACAGTACCATCAGTTACATCCGGCTCAGGCCGCTAGAGGTGGCCATAATGTACTGCCCGGCGGCCGACGGGACGACTCGGACGGCCTTCACTTGCAATCGAATATGCATTCGGGACTGCATTCCGGGTACGGAGACGTCACGGTCTCTGTGGCCGCCTCTGTGAACGCCGCCCGAAGGGGTACAGACATGGTCTACGCCAATGTCCGCCGACCGGACGTATTGATGCATTCGGGACATCACACTCTCAGTGAACAGGATTTGCTCAATCTTCACAACGCCGGTGCCCTCCCATCACTCGACGACACACAGGTTTGCAAACATTTTATATTCAATTACATTATCATTCAATTCAATACTCCATTCAATTATTCTTTAAAACATAACTATTGTTTTGAATCAAAACTTTTGATCGTTTTTTCTCGTAAAACAAATGCACTAACTTTTAACAAAACGATTAATTCTCAGCGAATATGACTATAAAATGTAATTATTGCTACATTTGGGCCATATTTCCCGACACTAACACTAAAATTAATGGTTTATTTATTTTGATTTAGAAATTTATTTCTAGTCTCAAGTGAATTATTGTTTAGCATTTCTTTATAATCCTTTTAACGAATTTTGAAGTAATGTTATTTTAAAAATGATTTTCTCGTAATTGTTGCACACAATTGCATAACAAGTCTCGTCTCCTATTGTGTAACTCTAACATTGAATTTCAAATGAATGCAAATTATGTATTCAAATGAAACAATCTATTTGTCACGCTATCAATGCGTTGACCATTTGATGAATGCATTGCCCAAACATTACTACACTTTTTATTATTCAAAACAACATATTTTAACAAATATTTTTTCAATTAAATATTAAGTTATACAATTGTTATAGTCTTTACTTGTGTTGGAATAATTGTTGTTAAGTCAAAACATTTTAGATTAAAAATTTAGTAATTCTGTAAAAAAATTAGACAGTATTGTAATTTCATATAAAGTATTGTGATAATGTAAGTATTTGTTATGAAATTTTAGAATTTCTTAGAATTTAGTTATGATATAATTATTGGGAATCGAAAGCATTAGCTTTTTTTGCCAACACTTAAGCTCACTTTGAATGCCTCACTAGCCATGCATTCATCTCTCAAACATATTTATTTCACTCATTTCTCAGTTGAGATGAGATGAGTCGAAATCTTTAATTCTTTTCTGTTTATTGTTTGAAAATCTCATTAAAATTGTTGTGATTTATTGCAACTATTTCTCGACTATTTTCTCTATTCATTTATAGCAAAAAATTTGAATTTCTAATTAGAGTTTTTATATATTCTAAAAGAAAACCTTTAAAACCACACTTAAAAGAGCAACAATTGGTCCTCCGGTGCACTTCTCTCTCTCTCTCTCTCTCTCTCTCTCTCTCT